TCTGCTCCTGCTCTTGGCTTCCCTCTGTACTTATACCATTTGTGTTGTAAAGTATTTCCAAATCCAGGCCCGGGGGATTTAATTTGAAGTGATGCTGGAGGATGAGCACATGGCATGAGCTCCTGATCTAACTAATCCTGGATTGTTTCTGCCTACTCCTCTCAAGGAATGAGGGACCAGGGAATGGCTAGGTCTGGAGAAGCAGAACAGCCCAGCCTAAAGAAGGAACAGCCTGAGATGAGGTACCTCAGGTGGTCAAGAGCTCTGCCCACAAAAGCAACTCCACTCTAAGAGTATCTGAGCTGTGTAGAGCCCAGTACAGCTCTGTCATGTGGAAGTCCATCTCTCTTGAATCTCTGGTTTTGATTCCTGCTAACCATGATTTTCTCCATACATATTCCTATATTGTACTCATAACTGGGCTGTGTCCTTCTGAAATGCAGTGTCTGAACCAGCTAGTCTACAGGAGAAGAACATCACTAAAGTACCTCTTTTGTATTTTAAACCCTGTTGTGGTGTGGAGATTTGTGATAGAAAAGTACAATTTGGAGGATTAAACTAAAAGCACCGTCTATAGCTGGAGCAATGAATAATGGGGATACAATGGGTGCAGGAGGAGAACAAAGCTCTCTGCATAAAGTAGCTGTTCCAAAGTGCAGTCTAGCTGCTTCAACCAAAATGTCTAATGTATGGCTTGCCAGTGCCTTCAGCTCTCTTTTCATTTCCTCTTAGGGGAAACGGTTCCTTGGAACTGTTGTGGTCTCCTTGCATTGCTATGCTGGCAGTGAATCCCATGGAGTTAGATTCAGGAGCCTCCTGCCAAAGGTGTCAGGAAAGAGCTGCTCATGGCAGTGAGGTCCCTGACTACAGCACAGCATGCAGGGCTTCAGCTATCTTCAGCTGTCAGGAAGTCCCCAGGAGCTCCTGAGTCACGGACACAATTCTGAGTAGATTTGAGGCAGTTCTTAATTGCACTGGGAGGTCAAACCATTCCTACTGGCCACCAGGACTTGAGGCTGAAAAAAACTTTTACCCAAGCCAGATACTCTTCAGTCATGGGTTGACTGCAGCTTGGTGGAAGCAAGGGATCCAGCCCAAAGGTCTGTTCAAATGTTTCCATTTCATGTGGCTTGGTATTGTAACATTCTCCCGTGGTTCTAACAAGTTGTGCAAAATTGTGAAGCCAAAGCAGCATTCTTCCTTTAAAGTTTCAAAATTAAGAAAAATGGTTGTGGGGTTGGAAACTTGGGAGAGATGTGCTGTGGTTATCTACTGGTCCAAGAATAAAATTCCTATGGCTTTGTACAAAAGCACGGAGTAGTTGCCTATTAAAAAATAAAATATGAAAATAAAAATTATTTCAAGTCAGGGTACCTTTTTAGTGGCAGCTGGACAATGTTTAGAGGATTTGAGAGGCCACACATTTCCTTCTCATGCTCCTCTGCGATTCCCGTAAGAGCAAGAAGTGCAAGTCAGATCCTCTGCCAGGGGAACTGGACTGACAAGAGGAGCAACACGCATAGCCTGGGGCTGGGCTTTGAAAGGAAGCACACCTGGGACATGGGAAGAGATGCAATGCAGCTGTCCTGGCTGGAGTGTCAGCCACACGGGGGGCCTTTTGGGCCAGGACAAATCAGATGGTTACCTTTGCAGCCAGAATACACTGCAGCATCCCTGAGGGAACCCAAACTACCTCAAAAGCCCAGAGCTGGGCTGGTTGTAACCTCAGTGGTGGGTCTGGCAGGACATACCCTAGCAGTGGTCATGTTTTGAGCAGGAAGGATTCAGTGGCCTCTAGTTCCTTTACCCAGAAGGAAGAGGCCAGAGTCTTATCTTCGTGGAATAAAGGAGGTTATGCATTAGCTACCCATAAAGAGGGTGATCCATTTATAAAGGGGAATCTAGGCTCTCTATGGGATTGATAAATTACTCCGGGAATGAGTAAAAATAGCTGGAAAAAGCTTTTAAGTTTTGTTTAAATTTAACCATCAAAAATCAAAACATTAGAGGGTGTTTAGAGAAGTGCCTGAAACTTGGAGACCCTGAGAAGAACCAGAGAGTGAATCAAAGAGCCTGGAAAAAAAAAAAAAAGAAAAAAAGAAATAAGGCGAGAGAGAGAGATATTAAGATTAAACAAACCTGCCTGGATAAAGCTAATCAGCTGAGATCCTGCTCCATTGGCATCAACTGGATGAGTATTAGGCCCTCAAGATGTTACTGAGAGGGAGCCCAAAAAATCTGTGTGTTTTGGGTTGGCTGGACAAGTCTCGTCCAGATTGGGTGATGTGGCAGAACCTGCTCTGGATGAAGAGGTAAAGTGGTGCTGCCTGTGGAGGAAGGGAGAAATTATAAAGGCTCCAACCAACTACGTGTGGTAAAACTGAATAATGGAGTGGCCAAAGGGAAAGGAGTTCCTGGCAAAGTCTGGAGTATTTATGAGAATCCAAGTAGGAGTTTGGAGCATTAATATTTATTGCACTGCTGTCAGTTGTCAGTGCTGAGAAATCTTCACTTATGCCATGACAACCTGTTTTTGTTCCAGTGGCCGTAATTCAACCTGCTGTGAGCTTCCCCTGCCTCCCTGGTTCCCAAGTCACACATGGTGGCTGGTTAACTTGTTCAGCCCTGGCTGCTCAGCTTCAGTCTTGCAGCTGATCTGGGTGAAGAACAGATTTTGGCTGCTACAGAGCCTCTTGCTGAGACAGAGTTTCTCCTTCCTCATAGCTCCCGCTAGGAGATTCCCAGAGGTGCCAAAGAAAATAGTGATAATGTTAAGAAACAAGGACATTTTGGCTGCTAGGAGATTTATTGCACTCGTTTTCTTTTTTGTGTAAAATTATGAAAAACGAACACGAGTTCATTTTGTTTAGCTTTTTTTCTTTTTCTTCTAATTTTAGTGAGATTCCTTCTGTTATCACTGCTAACACTGACCACTGGAACCTCTGGGCAGGCACTGCTTCCTCCATGCAAGGTCCTGAGCTAGATTTCCTTGACTCCAACATCAAACCCTCAGGCTGAGCAGTAAGGAATTCCTGCAAAGATTTGCATGTGCTTCATCTTACATGCTGGGCCCAGCTGTTGAGCCTGGTGATGGCAAGGAGCCCTCTTTCTCCCCTGCATGGGATTTGCAGGCTGCCAGACACTGCACAAGGGAAGAGCAGATGTGGCCGGCCTGTTTCTCCTCTTCCCTCGCGGAGCAGGGAGGGAATGGTGCTGCAGCTCCACCCTCCATAGCGTGCCAGCACTGCTAGCCAGTGAAGGGAGAGGGAAGTTCTCTGCTAAGAAATCAGCACTGACCCAACACACATCATTTCACAGAGGACTTGTCCCTTTCCACCTTTTCCTGCTTGCCTTGCTTGCGTCTTGGTGCAGCGCCCTGCGCGTGGGCTTGGTCGTGGAGTGCCTGTTCCATCCTCTGTTGGATTGGAAAATGCTCCTCGTGGTGTGTGTGATATTCCAGATGTGTGTCCATCTTCACAGGGCCAGCAGCTGGGTCTGTGCAGGGCTGTTTCACACCACAGGTCTCTGCTGTGCTCTGCTCTGCAAGCACAATTTATCCTGGAGAACCGAAGAGGCAATGGCGCCAAGAAGACATCAGATAATCTGAAATGGATCTACCTTTATGAGAAGACCAGTGTAGGATATGCAGAGGAAAGAACTCCAAAAGTAATTCCTCATTTCTCATCTAATGGCTTTAATTAACCTGAACAGTTATGCTCTGGAGCTGTGTGGACTTCAGGGACCAGCTTGATGGCACTCTTCCTGCTGCTAGGAGAGTGGGAGCATGACAGTTCAGTTATTGCTGTGCATTGTTAATATGGTTGATCTTGGTCCTGCTCCAAGAGAACCACTAAGCAATCATGGAAAATGAAGGGTAACACATTTTTAGAAGGATTCTGGATAATTTTGGCTATAAAACAGGCTGCATAATCTTGGCAAAAAGTGGATGAATTCATTATCTGCAAGTAGTGGAAAATATTATAAATGGCAGTAAATGAAATAAATGGGTGTTTCCACTGTAATATGCTATTCTCTGAGCCACCCAGAAAGAATACAGCTTGGTTTACTGGGTGGGTAGTCCTAGATGAAGTGAAAGATCATGTTCGTACGCTCAAATACTTGTTTGGGAGTGAAATATTTTATGCCTTTGTTGCAGAGGGAAATCTATACATTTTACATTCAAGAGGCCATATTTTATGGCCACATATGGATGCTGGAGTGAAGTTAAAGTTCTATATGTGCTGTATATCTGTTTGCATTCCTCAGCTAACCACATTTTTATTTTCTCTACTGCACCTTAAGGGTTTGGAGAGCTCAGCGACTCACTCTGATGGAAAGTCACTGACCCTTCTTTTACAAAGAAATTGATCTTTATGTTTTGAATTTGTTTATGGGCCAACACTATTGCTGTGAAGACATACAGTCCTGGCAACTTTTAGTAGAAAAACAATTGATGTCCATTAATGAATAAGATCTGGCTGGATGCTCTTCATTCCCTCTTGTTTGGTCTCAGGATACATCCTCCTTTTTGAGACTCCATTACAACACCAATGTGTATCTCTGAGCTTGTGAGTAGCATCATTTATAGGCCTAAGGTTATTCCTGTCTGAGGGGGCTTTTCTGGATAAGAAGCTCATCTGTCTCATTTAGGCCAAATTGACTTTCCTTTTGGCAGCAGTCTTGGAGGGAGGCTGCAGCCATGGAATGAAAGTCCTGGGCTGTGTTCAGGAAAAGCAATCCCACACTATGTCATTCTCTTCATCAAGGTCAAGGTCTGCCTGCTCACCTCAAAATGCCACTGGGTAGCCCCAATGGCTTTAGTGGGAGCCAGCACCAAGGGAATATGGGTTGGCTGTGCCATATTTTGGCTATTAACACCCAGAGCCTTTATCGAACAGCCCTTGGTTTTGTCCTTTGGCCTGGCAGTCAGGTACAACGACAGGGCGACCACTTCTGCTGATTAAAGGGTTGTTTTGTTATGCTATTTGTAGGTTGTTATTTTTGCTTCTTAATCAGATGGTTACTGTTCCAGTTGATACTTGTGCTTCTTCCTGTGTTGCTTAAAGAATATTTGCCTCCATGGTGCCTGTATTATACCTGTTAAGGCGTTTCCTCATATACTTGGATAAAATCATGGACATGGCCACAGCTGGTGAGCCACCCCTTTTCCCAGGAGCAAACACTATTACAATTTACTGTTTTGCAAAGAAAAAATTGCACCCAGAAACAAACAACTGCCTGCACCCATGTTCACATCTGGCTCTTTATGGACATGCATATACATTTATGTGTGCATATGTACATGTACATATATATATATTATAAGTTTGTGCACATGTATATTTGAGTGTGTATATCTAGGTGATTTTAATTAGGTAAGCTTAAGAAGCTCTCACTGGCTTCAGAGTTATTACTAGCTCTACTGGTATTTTCACTTCAAGGATGGTTTAAATGTATGGCCACTGCTTGTATACATTTATGTTCTGTGCTATGCATGGACAGATCTCTGTTCTCATTCCATGTCTGCTTTTGCAACCTCGGTTCTGCATTTATAAACAGCTGCACTCATAATCCTGCAAGTACAAATAATTGCAACTAAAGAGGTGAGCATTTATAGCTGGCCTTTTCAAAGGAGTCTAAGGGAGTTAAGTACCCAAATCTCATTGAATTTGGTTACCTAATTCCTGTGGCTTCTTTGAAAATTCCAGCCTTAATTAACTAATTCAATCAACTATCTGTGAACCAAGTGGAGACACAACATGCTAAATCCAGTCAGTTTGGGTTGCACGGGAGCTACCTGAACACTTTTCAACTGAAACTTTAAAGGTTTCATTGTTGGCAAACATTATCCAGTCATTTCAGTGAAACAAACTTCGATGTGGAACTTCAGCTTTGCTATGCACCCTCTTTTTTTAGTGTGGATCTCAGGGTCTTTACGTTGGCTGCTTTGTGTTTAGACTTGCTAAGAAGGGTGGACAGTAATTTCACAAGGTTTCTTCAGGCAGAATCTCCACCTTTAGATGCTCCTGGGAATTCTTATTGAGACTACAGGAATGATAGCTCCTGTGAAAGTTCCCACGTTGGACAAACACTGAGCCACATCTGTGGCACTTTGTGATCTGTGCCTTGGTGGCACCTTAATCCACGAGGAGACTTTTGTTTTTAAGTAGATAGGTGTTCAAGGAAAAAGCAAACAGCAAACTAAGAAAAAACTTGGAATAAAAACCTTCTGAGTCTGCACATTACCCTGACCAATACTTACTTCTATTCCATAATAACTTTGTCTTCTTGCATTTTTTTTTAATCCATGTTTCAAAAATCTTTGATGTGGGTTTTTTTTTTAAATTTTCTTCTTTGAAAGCCTATTTTGCTAAGTATGGAAAGCCACAGTTTTAACAGTTCTCCTGTTTGTTCAGAAATAGAATCATTCATATTTGGCATCAGAAGGAAGACTACACTGAAGCCCACATTTACTCCTATTAAATTAAACCTAATTGAAAAAAGGCAAAGACATTCATTAACTAGTTAAACAAACGGTATTAAATTTACTTTTTTATTTAAGAGAAGAAAGAAGACATCTTTAACTGAAGAAACATAAGTGGAAGAGTAGCTATTAAAACATGATGGAAGAAGTACATGTTGTTGAAAACTTAAGAAGAAACCACAGACATATATAACAATAAAAGAAATGTACCTTCTTGGCCCTTTCTCTTCTCTGTTATTGTGTCAGATGTTTCTGATTTGAATAAGAGCTTTCCTTCATGTCCCTGAGCTTCTCCTTCCATTTGACTTTACGTTGAAGTCATAAACCTGTTGTCATGGGAACAACTGTGACATCACAGATGGAGCATTAACTTCACCACAGGGCAAAATAAATGAATGTGATGGCCTGCGAGGAGAGAGAACCTTTGTTTGAAGCAAAAGCCAAGCTTATCCAAGTCTTGGCCTGGAGCCCGGTACCCCCAGAGCCTTCAGTGGGATCCCAGCCCTGGGTTGTAGGCACAGAACAAACACTCCTTGTAGCAGAGACCCTCTCTTGGAGATGATGGTCTCTGTGGACAGGACACGACACAGAAGAAAGGAAGCATTATCAGCTGGGCTTCAAGATTGGATAACTCAGGAAGAGGGAGAATAAGCAACTTTACCTCAGGTCACAGAGAGGATTTGAGGCAGAGCCCAGAACTGTGCTCTGATAACTCAGCAAGAGCTGCTGGAGATGCTGAAATGCAAGAGTCAGAGCCTGTTTCTACATATCAGTTCCTGGAAGTCTTTCCCAAGCTCCCTTCAAAACTGACAAAATATGCAAAAGGCAGTAGAGCTTGGGACAAGTTGAAACATTGCTGCAAGCCTTTTAAACAGTTCAAAATGTCTTCGCCCTCTAGGAAAGTTTGTTTTAGCAATCTTCATCACCACATGTGGGGTGAAGCCTTCCATGGCAGCATTCCCATGTTCTTCCATGGGCCCAGGATTCCATCTGTGGCTTTTAAGGAGCAACAACCAACACCTTGAGTTGCATTCAAATGTAAAGAAGGAGCAGATCTGTTACAGAGCATAAATATAGCAGCTGTTATGGCCAAGCTGGCCAACTAAATGGTCTCAGCAATTCCTGTGTGTTGCTGGCACTCTGCTAATGACCTCAAGAAGTTCATCTGAATCTTTGATTGCTGCTTCTACAATGGGGTGACATTGATCCCTCACAGGTTTCACATGTCACAGGTGGCCTGTATTGACGATAGGCACAAGCAGTGGAATACTCTGAAGTAGCATAAACTCTGCTTGCTCCATATTTTCAGTCAGAAATCACTGTTTGGATATTGGCCCATCAGCTTGTCCAGCCTCTGGGCTGTAGCTGGCCAAGGTATTTGGTCAGATGCTCCACTGAAGTCAGCATAAGGGCAGTGTCCCCACTAGATCAGGCATTTTTGCCCACCATCCTGCCCCCACAGACACACAGAGCCTGCAGCTCCACAGGAGTTAGGGGAAACTGAACTTCTCTTGACTTCAATGAGAGCTGTGTGGATGAATCCCACGCAACTCTCAAACTGGAAGGGTTAAATCCCTTTTGCTTTTGCCTGTTAGTCTGTGGTTGAGAAAAACAAAACTCCCATGTGTTTTAAATTGTTTTAACTGATAAGTCTGGCCAGCAATTGAGAGTAAATCACAGTATCAGTGCACACCCACAACCTACTTTGATATACGTCTACATTTGAAAGTGACTTCAGTGAGTCATGAGAACAGTTTTAATTAAAAGGATTGGAAGTGTCAGAAATTTCTCAAATCTTTTACAAAAAAAAAAAAAATCCCTCTGCTACACTTCTGTGGGTTTTATTAAGATACAGAAAATATAAACCTGGTATTCTTATCCCAGTTTTTGTTTTATCATCTTAAGTTATCAATCTTTGGGACTGCAAGATCCTTTATGTTAGAAGAAGCTTGTGCAACACATGACAGAAAACTAAAGGCACGTCAAAAAACACAATCAGCGTATCACAGCACTTCAGGTCAAACCACATATTCATTAATCTAGCAAAAGTCTTTAGGAAGGTGTGTGCAGCATTGAATTGGTGAAAGCTGGAAAGTCATGTTAATTCTTGATTAAACAAAATGGTGGCTGGAATAAAATCCTATTGTTTAAGCTCCAAATTCTCAGTGGAACCACCCTGGAATCAAAAGATGGTAATTGGATTTGCCATGAAGTCAAATGGTGAAAAGTATCAATCAAAAAGCCCAATAAATACAATAATACAATAAATACAATAAAAACATGGTGTTATTAAACAATCAGTAGAAAAGGGAAAGAAATTTATTAAAAACTACTTTACATGTGCAAAACTGAGTTTGAGTAGTAGCCACAATTAATTTGTATTTGGGTTCTGCAATATTTAGCACCCAGTTTGCCAGGGAAAGTATTTATCAGAAGGAAATGAAACTAAAAATTTTATTTTTTAAATTAAAAAATTTAAACTAAAAAATATGAACCAGCACATCTATTTGATTTCAATATTCCACAAGTGGAGTTTTTAACTTAAATGCACATTGCTCATCCGTATGGACAAAACGGATCTCTAGAATTAGAATGGATCATGACAACATTAGAGAAGGAATGCTGAACTTCCAGGCTTAATAGGAAATATCTGACTGTAAAGACAAGGATGAGTCCTCTGTGGGAATTAAACTACTTCATGTTGCAGCAACTGAGACCTTATCAGTTCCTCAGGAAGATCTGATGCTGACCCCTCCTAGAGACAGCATCTGATGCCAAGGAGATTGGGTCAAATGCTATGGGGCAGCTGAACTGTTCCTAAGTAATTCCCTCCGGAAACAAACACTGTCCCAGATAATCCTGGTCATTGCCAGCTGCTGGTGAAGTAAGGTGAGGTACTGCAAAGAAGTGTTTCTCAGAAAAACTTAGAAATTTCCACATTCTAATGAGAAAGATGCTTTAAAGATTGGAAACAAACACCATGTGAAAGTTTAAAGGGAGAGAGACTATTATGAATTTATTTGCTCGTCTCTAATTAAGACTTACTTTTTCCTGCAGCAATGATTCTTTCTTTAACATGCATAATCATTGTACTGTGTAATGCATTTTCTAGGGTGTGGTGATATTCCTTGTCAGCCAGAAGAGCAGTGCCAGCATGAGCAGACACCTAACACTGTTGGAACTAGTAAAGAGTTGTGTTTTCTCCACTCCTTATATGACCTGCAAAACTGTGTGAAAGATCAGCATAAAGAAGTACTGAACCAGTTCAAAGGGAAAATCTGTTTTGGTTGTGTTGGCTTTTGGGAAATGTAGCTTTTTTTCCTGGAAAGCTGGACTGATTATACACCCACATCTCTGTAGCCAGCCCTTCAGACCAAACATTTTCTCTATGTGCCTGTCCCCAAAGTAAGTTAATTTTATTACTAAAGTTAAAAAGATATGTCTCAACTTAAGGGATTTTGCAATCAGTTCCTATAGAAGCATCTGTGACTGGACATAAATGAGAACATTGCCAGTTGGACAGAGGAAAGGAGAGTGGGGAAATATTTCTGCTGTGTTAAGAGCAGTTCTCCTCTGCTCAATTTCCTTTCCTAGTCTTTACAGAGGAACTAGAGGAGTCTGTATTTCATCACTAGTGTGTACTGGGGGAAAGGATTCTCTGGAAATTGAACATCTTTGTTAAAAAAACTTTTATGGCTTGGAGCATCTAATGGCTCTTTTCATGAGACCCAAATCATGGTGAAAGGCAAAACAGAGACCTGTCAAAAGCAGGAAACTCATCTCTTGTATGCAAGTGATTGTGCTGACAGGTATGATGCCCATGATATCCAACCCAAAGGTTATGATTTCTGCAGGAAAAGCAAAGTTTTTCTATTGTAGCCATCATTGTGCTGTCTAAGGACCTTATCATGTAGGACTGTGCAGTAACAGCAGCTGAGACCAGGCAGTTCTTAGGTACAGCTTCAGATCTTCGATTTACACATAGCTACAAGAAAGCAATTTTTTATTTTTGTTTGCCGTTTTCTGAAATGGAAGCAAGTATTGCATTCCCAGCTTCTTGCTGGTGACACAGATTTATCTTGGTTCATCCTGGGGTTATAAGGCCCCACCTAAGAGATCTGGCCTATAGCCAGTGCTGGAGGGGAGCTGTAGAACAAGAGAGAGCAGGAGCCTTCTCGAGGTGCTTTTTTTTTCCTTTGCAGGCAGAGGGTCTAGGAAATAAATACATGAGAACCCAAAACAATGTGTTGAAGGCTGGTTTGGGGCACCAAAAATTACCTGATGGCTCAAAGGGAGCAATTTTCAAAATATAGATCCTGAGAGGAAATCTTGGGGTTTTAGTCCCATGCTGCAAGGTGACCTGGTAAATGACACTTGAAGGGAAGACTGAACAGAACATTTCAAAGAGCCATACTCAAAGTCTTGGCTTTCAGGAAGAAACTTTAGGTCCTGTGAATAAGCCTGGCTGACTTTAACTGTTTTGCTAAATAAGAGAGTTCAACAGAGGGACTAAAATTTTTTGGCTTTCAGATTGGCATATAATTTTAAAGAGTAATTTGGATCTGTCTTGTTGTACAAGCAAAAGAGTGGCTGTTGTCACATTCAAATGTCATTTTTAAGAAACACAGAATAACTCAATTTATCTCCTTTTCATTGCTTTTTTAGCCAAACCAGTTTCATATGGCTTCTGTAGTGAATGAGATGGAGTGAGTCAGTAAAGATTGACTGTGTTTTGACTACTACATACTGCACTGACACACTGCAGTGTGGAGAGCTTGCTTAGTTGGATTTAAAGACTCTTGGAACTTTTCAAGGTAAGAAAGGATGTAATTTGGAAGAAGTGTTGCTGCTTTTGACTAACATCTAGTTTGGACATTTCTAATACAAAATCAAATTATCTATATATGTTTTTTTTTTTTTCACCAATATGTAATTAAAATTAACTCCGCTTTTTCTATGAAGTAGTTTTTATGTGTAGAAACTCCCTAAAAGGTTGTGAGTCAAAACCCCAAACAGACACCCTGAAAGATTTGTTTCCTCATTTAATACCGTACAGAAGGAAGGAATTAGCTAAAGACATAAAAAAAAATTTAGAAAAATTTAGAAATAAACCCCACAACACTCAAGCTTTATACCCCAAATAGCAGCAAAAACAGTGAAGTCCACAATAAGGACTGTTCAGTTATCATCTCTATTTTATTCTTTTGACAAATGCACCGTTCAGGGATGGTTGTCTGTTGCTCCAGGAACAATTACCTGTGCAGGCATGGGAAACTCTTCTTCTTGGAAGTCAGATTATCATTTCAGTCTTCCCATGAAGAGGAAACCTTTGCTGCATATTCTCAGGAGCTGGGATGGGGAGGATCAGGTGACAGCTCCCTCTGTTAACACAGATCCTTGGACATGTCGTTTAAGGGCTGCCTGGAAGCTGCTTTACATGAATGTAAATCAGGAATTGCTTCCAATGAAACACAGGAAGCAAGTGTTGTACAAGCAGCCTGTCTTTTCCTCCTACATCGATTTTCTGTCTGTAAAGTGGGGAGTATTCATGTTTCTTTTCTTCAATGGGTTCTTGATTGCTTGTGCAGAAGGGAAATGCTATGGTGATAATCTTCAAAACAAAGCCTCCAGCCATTTCCACTTTTTTGTTATCATGCTAATGGACTTATTTCATTACTTTGTGTAATGAGAAGTTTCCCCTGGCTGTTTTATCCATAATTAATCACAGCATTTCTGGCTTATAAACCACTTCCTTCATATGTTTAGCTGTTCGTGATTGCCCTTTAGTCAGTTCCATACAATGTTTTAAATTCTGGGTAAGTCAATGATTTTTTGTTTAGCTAAAGGTATGCTTAGACCAACGCCCTGAACTCCACAGAGACATCATCCCAAATTAATTCTCCAGGTTGCAGCTGCATGATCTTGCTAAAGAAGTGAGTAATATTTTGACATTTAATATTAAATGAGTTATCTTTGAAAAATGCTTCCCTGCCCCTGGTGTACCTCAGGCAAATGGAAACATGCTTAACGTGCATAATGAAACCTTGGTAATGGAAAAAATGGGGAGCTGAGATGATCTATCAGCATCTAGAATCTGTAGGACATAAAAACTGATGGTAAAATGATGGTGAGGTTAAAACATAAACTAATCAAATTGATTGCACTTAAGTGGAGCCCCCTTAACAATACAGCTGTAATTATTCTTAATCCCCTGCAATTCTATTTAAAAATTTTGGCAAGTGATTGATTTTTTCAGCTTTGGAAATTAGTTTGTGATAATTTCAGTGGTACTGAGCATGTTAGATTTTCCAGCAACTGACTTAGGAGGATTCTGCATTCTTCAATTCCTTTTCTTCCAAAGAGCACTTCCTATTCCTGGAATGATCTCTTCCTACTTTGGCCACCAAATTGTACCTTTAATTCCAAAATTTATTTTTAATTAAAAAAACCTCATAAATATAAGCAATTTGCTGATGTTAGAGTAGTTTTCTGGAATTGCAAGTCTGTGTTTGACTTAAAAGTCAGAGGTGAGGGGAAGAGTAGAGGTCTGAAGTAAGCATATAAACAGTTTTTCCTGAAATACAAAACATCATCACTGCTTGAGGATATTTTGCATAACTCACTTGTTGGAGTCAGTAAGTCAAGGGTCTCTCTGAGTCCTTCAGAGAGAGATCAGAGTGCAGAGATTGAATTAAAGCCTTTGGAAGGAATAAGTAAGTGAGTAAATGAAGCAAGTAAGTAAGTAAATGGAATAAGTTTTAAGTGCTTTTAGTAAGCAAAAAGTCATAGATACCTAAGAAGTAATACACGTTCTAGTAAAAGGTGAAAAACATACTAGTGTTTCCTTAAAAGATCCAAGAACCTAGCTTCAAACATAATAAAGTTAAGAATATTGCTTACATTTTTCAATTAAAACAAAATAAGCCATGAATGTAATCTATATGTAGCCTGGAGTGCTAAGAAACTAGAATTCTAATAGGTTAAAAAGCAGTAGTCCAAGTTTGTGTCTTAGCTTGCTTAAAAGTTTCTATAAAAAAATATGCATTAAGGAGAGCTAGTGCTCTATGCCATGGCTTTATGCCATGTGCATTTTGCCATTGCATTTTGCCATTGCTTTTGCCACTTGCTTTTATGCCGTGTGCTTATGCCATTGTTTTGCTTTGTTTTTACCTTTGAGTCTGATGTGCTTCTACAATAAATACCTTTGTAACATCTATTTTTAAAAAGAACATAACCCGACAGTGTGAGTGCCTCAGAGCACCCAGAGGTCCACAAAACCTCTCATCCCTAATTGTGAGCCATTTGGCTTTCCCAAACCCTTGCCAAGGAAGCCTTTGTGCCACTCCATGCCATCATTTGTCTGCATCTGAATCTGGCTCTGTCTGCACCCATCAGTGCCGCGCTTCCGGTGAAGAGCGTTATTGCGAGGGCATGTGCCTGACTCAGAAACCTGTGATCTCAGTGCCATTAGCAACCCTCCCAACAGAACAACTGACTCATCTTTTCAAAAATGTCTCTATCACAATACCTGAAATTGTCACAGGCATATTAAAGATGTTTAGGGCCCAGTTTAAGAGGTGCCAAATCCACTTTAACAGACTGAGCCGGTCTACTTCCCATTATTTTCCTGAGTGGTCACAATTGTTTGACTACTAAACCACTTGGGGCCATTAGGGAGTTCTGCTCTTCCTCTTCAGCTACTCTGTGCTAGATAATTTTCCCTCAGGTAAATTGATTGCAGATCAATTTGAAGTAATTCAGACAGTTGTAGTGACTACTCCCCGGATGCTTGTACAAAGCTGCAAATATTTACTGTTTGTCCTGATAGTCCAAAAGGCAAGCAGCTCATGTAGGATGGAAACAGCATCAAGTAGTTACATCTTCCAAGTAAAGGATGTTTTCTGCAGGGAGGAAGAATAGATTGTGTAAAATACCACAGATCATGAAAAAGACTGTCACCATCAAACAGGAATCTGCTTAGTCCGTTCTGTTTTTGAAGTTTAACGATTAATGTCACAGAAAGAAAAAAAGGTTTCTCGAATTCTTCCTATTAACAGAAAACTGCCTTGCTGAGACAAACTTATCCAGAATATTTGAAGTAAAGCACTATTTATTATGTCAAATTTATGATGTCTTCAATATTAGTTTAAACAAGGAAAAAAGGCTGACTGAGTGCAAAATTATCATATTGGGGAATCATAGATTATATTAGTCTGGAAAGAAGAGAATTACATAGAATAGTGAGTAAACTGCTTGGGTTACAGACCTAGAATAACGTTTAATTTGATTTAATTTAATAACAACAATAAAATTTGAAATGTTCTGGGACAATCAGACCGTTGGAGGTTCTCATGGAAGACAACCTAGAGCACTTCACTGCCCAGTGGGATGAACTTAACATTGTCAGGGAGAGTTGGAGCCTCTCAAAGAGCAGAGGGACACCATGGCATGGGCAAAAGGTCTTGCAGTGCCCCTGTCTGCCCTGTCCCTCAGGGTGGACAGCCAGACATCCACTGCTGCCAGTGCCTCCAACTTTGAGAGCCATTTTGGGGTTTCAGGTGAATCTGGGAGAGTGGAAATATTCTGGCAGACCCACTGAGAGCACTGACAGCAAACTGGGTCACTCAGGCTCTCAGTTTAAAGTGGAATTAATTTGTGAATGGGAATGTGTGCCCAAGCTCAGTCTCCACAGCTGCTGAATCCTGCTGAAGTCCCACTTCTTTTTCTGTGAGAAAGGAATGAGCTAGCACAAACAAAGTGGATGCTAGATAAAACCAACAGTGGAGAATGCATGGTCTGTGTTACACAGTGCCCAAAACACTGATGGCACACTGCAAAAGAACTAGCACATCTCCAGGTTACTTCATTCAAAATTAAAAAGATAGGAAAAATTTGCTTCAGTACTGGTCAATATGAAAATAATTTCAGTTTCTGCTTCTGATTGTATTTCTGAGCTCAAGGATTAAGGGGACTTTAGGAATTCAATTTTATATTAACTGAAGCCTGTTTCATGTTTGCCTTAGGACAAGTTGGTCATGGAATCTCTTTTCACTCACTGTGATGGAAGATGGAGTCAGTAGGACAGCAGCAGTGTGCAGAAAAAGAAGGAGGCTTTTCCCTCCAGCATTCACTGCCTAAGGGGAAAGCAGTTCTTAGCAGGGCTAAGGACAGGACACTGCATCATTCAGAAGCAGAGATCCTTAGACTCCCTAAGCCACCTTTGAAGCAATGCAGTACCACTGGGAAATGCACCTTAACACAAAAATCTGGGCTGATTCAATAGATGGAAATCAAACATCAGACCTGATTTGATGGATGCAGTCTATAACTGTGCCACAGATTATTTTCAGCCAGTTTTTCATTTTGGTTTGCTTTGAAAAGTCTGATAGAAAGGGTAGGGATACCCACAGTGGGTCTTGACTTTGGCCTGTTGGTTCATGCTTCATAATTTCAGTAGTAATAAATGGATGCCAAACCTTAGATCTACAAAAATGCGTAATCCTTTTTTTTTTTGTGAAAACAACCTACACTGACCTCTGGGCTTGCTTCATAATTATCCTGCCTGTTGAAATTTTGCATTGCAATTAACTTCCCCCTGCTGCAGCAGCACTGTCCAGGGGTCGTTTTCAAAGCATTTTCATAGTTAAAACACAGCTGTATCAGGACAATGTGTTTCCTTCCCACCCCAGCTGGAAAATTCTGCCCCTCCATCCCAATAACACCCCAAACACCAGTTCTGGCTTTTAATGGCTTGGCTTCCATACCATGCCTTGCACTGGCAGGCTGTCCAGGCCCTGCTGAGTGAAGCCTAAATCCCCCATGGATGTGAGCAATCT